TGCACAAAGCAACAGCCGGGTTTTCAGCGTTGTTTTTAAGCTCGTATGCTTTTGCGATGAAATCCACTCAGGCTGCCCACTCTCAAGCCAGTCTCATGAAATAGATCACCACCCCCTGGCGTTTATGCTTATCGAACGGCGTTAGCCATCGTTTCAGAGCGATTTGGCAAGATGAGGGTTACCGTTGCTTTCCATCACGTGGCAATCAGGCATTACCATTATGGAAGCATCGTTACTCATTCCACTTCTGTGCTCCCCGACGACTGACGGCCATCGGCCGACGGCATCGGCATCGGCATCGACATCGACATCGGCATCGGCGTTGGCATCGATGGGAGAAGTGCAAGCCCTAGCAATGAAGCGGCAGGAGCTGGATCAGGCCTGAATAACACCATCGAATCAGTGGGCGGTGCCCTGCCCTCGGTGCGCGCCGGTGACGGACCTCGCACACTGTAGCCCGTCGACGTCTCACGGGGGCAATTACTACCACGATGGCCTTACTCTGTTCTCGTCACGATACCACCATGGCGCCATCAGCTTGCCTGCTTCGGAGCCTGTCACAAGGTGACCGATCCATCACGTGCAGCCTCTGCCGGGTCCCGTCCCAAGATCCGCCCAGTCCTGTGCTCGTGCGCCGCTTTCCGGAGCCCGCAGTCAGCATCGTCTAATTTGCGCAAAGTCCCGTCCTAAAATGGGCCACCGGCATGATGCCTTCCAGCACGCTGCAATATGCCTGGGTCTCGAGGTCGACAACTCATGCCCATCTGGCGACATCTGAACATGCGCCGCTCTCTCCGAGGCCCGTCTCGGCGGCGAGCGCTGCCCGCCCATCATCCAGCCTGTGAATGCCGTCAGCGCGGCGAACACGTCCTCTCACCTTAACGGCACAGGCACTCGGCGGCGCCGGCGAAGAGAGGGTGCCTAAATAGAAAAAAAATCCGGCTTAGGTCGGAAGGTATATTTTTACCACACGTTTTTCCTATGTCTTAGTATTACACACGCATCCGGTCAGCGGCGGCGTGGGGAAGTCGTCCTGGCATCACGTGCTCCGAATGGGCTGCGTGAAATGTAGGTGATTACGTCTTTCACGTCGCGCATATAGCATAAAAAATAGACCATCCACGAAGTTCTGGGGACACTTCTTCAAAAACACGAAGTTCTTCAAAACCCTTCTTCTAAGCATTTTGAACAACGCAAACTTCCACAAAGTTATGCACACTGCAAGAGTTATGGTAAACGTTGAGACATTTTGCGCGGATAAACCTTCACGAAGGAGGTAACTCCGCCGTACATGTCAGAAAATACAGCGCCACGTGTGACGCTTCCCCGGTGCACGAAACGTCAGGGCCGTAGGATTCCGCACACGGCCGGGGTTCGAATCCCTGGCGTGGCCCCTGGGGCTAATGTGACCATCAGCAGCGCCGAGCGGAGAGGCCTACGCAACAACGTGGGCTGACGTGTTCCTAAAACACGAGACGTATCTCCCGTGTCCCCAAAGCTGCAACTGGCTCGCGGTGTGACGTGGATGCCTTAACAGCGGGCAACTGCTCTGCGATTCTCGTCGCCGGCGGATCGTTGGTGCAAGTGCGATCTTCAGTTCAGTGCTAGTCAATCAGCGTGTGCAATCAACATTCGACCAGCAATCAATCAACAATCGGCCGTGTGCCGTGAGCTCGATTTCACTAATGCGCGCGGGCGTCCTCGCTACGATCCAAGGCGTATCAAACGGTCCGGAACTGGCTCACGCAACCTTTTGATGAGCCAAGGCATCGCCGATTTGATCAATGAGGCACTCATCACTAGTTAACGCGCGTTACCAATGAATTCTGCGAGACTACTTCAGATCCCTCCACACGCTACCCATCGCTAGCAACGCTTTACAAATTCGGCGCGTGAGTGGACTACCAATGATACATAAATCAACGTTAAATTGACGCCGGCGCATGCTCTGGTCGTCCCCCCAGGGTACGTCGCTCGGCGTGATTAACATCGCTAGCTTGTCCGGCCAGCAGTTTCCGAGAGCAAGTCGAAACAGGATCAAAGCGCGCTCCGGCGTTCTGCTCAGTCTCTTAGGAGTCCCGCCCTCGGTCGGTCCGCAGTCCACCGTGATCAAATGCCGGGAATCCCACCGCTCTGTCCAGGTCAGGTCACCGCGCCGTCGACCCAGCCGGGGTCAGCACCCTTCCCGCCGCGATCGACCGGCGCGGAGGCGCGCGGCCGCCGCCGCCGGCGCGGGCCCGCCCGCCCGCCGGAGGGGAGGGGACGGGGTAATTACGGGGGTGGCCGCGCTGCGGCGCCACCGCCGACTCAGCGCTCCCGACGCCTGCCGCTAATGGAGACGGATACGGCGCGCCAGCGTCGCCGTCGGATCGGCAGCGGGCCACCTCTGCCGTGCGTCCGCCGCCGTCCGTCGCCGCCCGACGGCTGATTTATGCCGGACGTTCCCCGGCGGCCGGGGATGGAAATGACAGCTCGGCGGCCCGCTCTTGGAAGGAGCAGCGGTTCGGGCGCTCCGCTGCCGTGCCGGGACGGATCTGGGCGGATCTTGTCACTTACGAATGCCGGGGATTGATCTCACCGAAAGGGTCCCTTCTTTGTTTCTTCCTAAACGAGCAGAACAGTATGCGGCGACGCCCCGCTTATCCTGGCAGGCTACACGCACCAGCCATGAGTACGCCCGGGAGCCGCCGCCTGGTCGGGGCATCTTCTTAGTGAGGCGGCTGTGCGGCCTTATTCTCGGCGGATGAACCCCAAGTGCGTGTGGTTCTACACCACCGCTATCCACTCTCCTTCATTCCATAGCCCTGAAATGGTCCTGACAGGCCGAAAGGGCTCTAATCCAAACAACCTAGCCTAAACGATGCAACACTAGAAACATTGCCTTGAATTCGGGTAACATTGCAACTCTATATACCTAAATCCACAAAGAGTATCACGAGTTTCATATGAATTAAGAGTACGAGTTAGGGACAACGGGAAATGAGTATCCGGTCGGCCAAACCCTCTTAAAGCTCAAATACCGTTTCTCAAGATGACACGAAAGTAATTTTTTCGGTAGTTTTGCGGGATGCAACCAGCCAAAAATATTAGAGTTACATCAGCGCTGATGGGAACAAAACGTAATTCAGAACATAATGAATAATACACCTGCACCACAGTCGAGACACGTTTTCAGAAATCCCATGAGGAGCAATTTCTGTCAAGCTGTTGCCATCCTTTTGCATCACCGTCAAAAATGATGAGGAGGATCAACTACGCTCAAGACAATAAGTGAACGACGTGGAGAGGCCGATTTAGCTGACAGCCGTCGGTGATATTCCGACCATGATGCATTTGTGTGGGCCCAACATTTGAATCACGCCGATATGTTTCCATATTTCAGAACTGCGTTTCCATGGGGACACTTTCGAGCATTCCTTATAATACTGGTATCCCCAGAGGTTAGTGTCTCAGCTGTAACTGCACTAAAGCTTTCGTTTCTTAGTCAGCGCACAAAGCCATTGGACGTTGGAAATCAAGTGCGGGATGTCAATATAAAGTCGCGTGGTGTCGCGCACGTTCGCGCAGCACTAGCGCTATGGCACATAGCCTCTAAAACCAAGTGAGAGCACCAACTCAGCGCGGTGATATGCCATGCGTAGCATCTGTGTGAGCTGGCGTGTTACAGGTGTGACGCATGTGAACACATGTTTCCATTCGCCGGGTAAGAGGTGTTTTTCATCCGCTGGCGAAGCAAGGCTCTGGGGGCGACTAGTGACATTTTAAATCACCTTCCACAACACTGTTAGGTCCACAGCTAAACCCAGACGTTGTTTGAAGTTATGGAATTCAGATCACCTGCACCACCCTTTGGTGATAGCGTGGCTGCCATCTTAGCCGATATTTTAAGCCGACGCCTACGATTGAAACTAAAAAGGATGAAAGTGCGCAAGATATCATGTTATCTTTTCTTCGTATGATGTAAAAATGCCGAGTGATCATTTTTGAGACGTCTCCAGGGGTTCAAGAGGTCATTTCTAGGAAGACCATGCATTTTTCTTCATTACTGTGCATGTTTGAGGCATGGCTCGGCATAGCTTACATGGTTGTCATTGGCTCATATCGATGACAAACAGGCGTTTGACATCTAAACGGATACAATGCCACTCAAAAGTTACCATCAGTCAAGGATGGACAGTAAAGTTCAAAATGCTTTGTCTTTGTAAGGAACACCTTGGTGCTTTAATGATAGTTATAAAATCTACCACAAATGAAAATATTGCACCATGGCACCAACATACTGAGCACTGGCTGATCAAGAACTATCCGTAATTTGGGGAAAAGCAAGCTTAGATGCTTAGATACATATGAACATCATTGCGGATTCGTACACGTTTAGACAGATTTTGACATTGAAAAATAATAAATTTAATCCGTCTTTAAGGATCAAAGAATTTGAAATCCAGCTTAGATCGATATGCATTAAAATATTTCTCAGCTCGAGTCGAATGGCTCAGTATGCGCGTGGCCAGCAGGGCAGCTTTTAGCTCATTATCCAAGCTTCTCAATACACAATGGCTCGATTATTAAATTTGCGTTTTGCTACCGATGCCTGCATTTATAAATCCAAAACTTTCTGGTACCTGCCCAAGGACAGGAGCTGGATTGCGTTATCCATTCAGCTCCACAGTTTACTTTTCCATAGCAAACTTCAGGACCTTTGAAACGGCAAAGCGCAAAATGCTGATCTTTCAAACTTAAAAACCAACATCCCAGCACGGGAAGATACGAGTCAGGGAGTGGGAATCCACTCATATACTTATGCTCTTGAGGAACACGTAACTACAGAAGCACAGAAACACCAGCAATCATCACAGCTGTACATACTTCCGCATCTCACCATGCGTCGTTATCGCTAACGCGATTGAGGCAGCCTGCAGAGCCGCGCTGCCCCGCCACGCCTGCCATACAGCTGGGCGAAGGCCGCGAGCTGACCACAGCCGGGCGGGCCGCACACTCACGCCTGCGTCGTCGCCCGAAGAGCTGTACAGCTGGTCCATCAGCTTCTTAACCTCGGGGATGTAGCAGTCGGAGTAGTTGGTCCAGCCGCCGGGCTCGGGCGACGCGCCGGTCCGGCCCCGCCACGTGCCGTCCAGCATGCAGTAGCGCCGCGCGAACTCTGCAGACGACAGACGGTGGGTGCAGCTGAGGCTCGACCCTCGTCACACCGGGGTCCATCGTCGTCGCCAGCCCAAGTCTGGTGCCCGCTGGCTTACGGGAGGCTTGCATGTATGCTTGTCCAGCTTGCGGGCTGGACGAGGGATACGTGGCGACGGGACAGTACGACACATGACGACGGGGCAGGATGACTTGATCAAGTGCAACACTTTATGTAAAGCTTGAGGGTGGTACCCATAATTTACCAAAGTATGACCGAAGTGCTGCAACGAGTGAACTATGAAAACGTTTTTAGAGTTATAATAATGGTCAATGTCGGCACAGGCCAGTGACGAAAACGCGGCGAAGGGACAATGTAGGAGACTGTGCAAAGGCTGTTAAGCCGCAATATTCGTTCAGATCCCAAACAGCAAATGCATCCAGCGAAAAGAAGCTGCTGTTCATGGATACACTAAGGCCGTTGAAAAGTACTAAGCGTAGACCCCATTACACGCGGAGAAGGACAGACGCCATTTTACGAGCTGTCGATTTCGCAGCACTGTCGCCAACTAAACACAAGACGTTTTCCTGCAAGCGTTTGATACCCATGCCGTGCCCCACGGCCGCTAAGTTTGCATTAAATATCTGGTAGACCATAGTCACCTGTACCACCTCCACAGGGAACAAATCGCCACCAGTGCATCAACATGCGCTGAAAGCGACTCTTAAACGAGCCGACTGCGGCGCACGTTATGATTAGATCATCATTCAGCTCAATATAAGGAGGGAAGACGTTCAGCTCATGGTTTCTCGGCATTATGAGCTGAAAGTTCTTATGTTTTGTGAAGGACTTTAAATTTACCAGGTCATGTTAAAACGTTGTCGTAACGCTAAATAGTGATTTCATTGACAGTACTCAGGGTACCGTAGTACCGTGGTGATCCTCAGAGTACTATCCATATAATCGCTCTTTAGTGTTATGACGTCGTGTAACCTGTATCTTCAGGCATATTAAAGATCATTAACTCAACACAGCAACTTTTCACCCTCAACATCGCTCAACTACCTAATAGCAGATTGCCTGCCGCGCAGATGTCCGTCCCACCATTTACCATCTTCTTGACACTCATGCATATGGCCACGCGAACGCTGCATGCACTCACCACACAGACAAATCTCCGGCAACGTCTCACGCTTTGTCACGCCTCCCCCCTCCCCCCGCATCCATCATGCCGTCATGACGTCACCGCGCTTACTGTTGGGGTCGACGCCCTTGAAGGGCGGACAAGGCAGCAGCAGCTGGGTGTCAGCTTCTGTCGGCGGCCAGCAGAGGATGCTGTCGTACGTGGCGTTGCACCAGCCGTCTGCCGACGCGGGAAGACGACCGTGAGCGAGGTCAGAACACAGACGTCACCAGCTGCGGCTGGCTTGATCGCCTCCCTCCGCTGGCGAAGCCGGCAGCGAATAGGCATTCTGTCACGCTTCCTCGGAGTTCGTAGCGACGGACAGAGTCCTCAGAGTGCCGCCAGGAAATCATGCAATTCGGGAGGTCAATCGGCCGTGGTTGGTCCAGCTCAAGTGCGCCACGTACACAAATGTTCTCCGAGCCGATTATGGTAGAGTTTGGTCTTCTCGGGCAGGAGACGTCGACACAAGGAGAGTTGAAATGCTATGTTTGGTAAGGGACTACGTGCACACGTTAAGTTCATGAGCTGCGAGGATGTCGTCTATAATAACTATCATAAGCCGAACAAAAACACTCGATTAAGCAATGTACAATGTGCAGTGTGCAACAAAGCAGTGAACAGTGACGTTACTTAGAACGGAAAAATCGTCTGCCTGTCCAGGTTTTGACCCAACAATACAGCGTTGTTATTAAACAAAGTGAGAGCATGCCTGCGCCAGCATCGAATCGCCATTTCCACCCACACGAAAAACCGTGAACTGCGATCGGAAAACTCACGAGTGCACTACAACTGCATCGGAGCAGCAAAGCGCACAGCCAGCCACGCACTCGCGTGGTTACTGAGCGCGGTCCACCTGCCGTGGCATGCCGGCGCACTCGCCACGCACTCGCGTGGTGCCTGAGCGTGGTCCACCTTCCGTGGCAGCCGGCGCACTCCCTGCGGAATCGCGCCGGTGATACGGTCGGGCGCTGTTTGCGTGCAGTGGACCCGCGACCGATACCGCTGCTAATGTAATGGCTTCGGTACTCCGCAGCTGCTGACGCTTGCAGTGCTGCCTCCGATACGACACGAGCACGCTTCCAAATGGATCGGATAGCCCCAGCGGCGGTTCGGTGAGGATGTTGGTAATAGTCCACGGACCAAGGTGGTGCGCTTCTGACGGCGCTGTGTTTGGACGTGCGCCACTGTCGGCGCTGTTTGCACGTGCGCTATTGTCGGCGCTGTGCTTCGACGTGCGCTACTGTCGGCGCTGTGTTTGGACGTACGCTTCTGTCAGCGTTGTTTGGACGTACGCTTCTGTCGGCACTGTGGTTGGACGTACGCTACTGTCGGCGCTGTGGTTGGACGTACGCTACTGTCGTCACTTTGTTTGGACGTGCGCTTCTGTCGGCGCTGCGCCTGGACATGCCCTACTGTCGGCGCTGTGTTTGGACGTGCGCTACTGTCGGCGCTGTGTTTGGACGTACGCCACTGTCGGCGCTATTTTTGGACGTACGCTTCTGTCAGCGCTGTGTTTGGACGTACGCTTCTGTCGGCACTGTGGTTGGGCGTACGCTACTGTCAGCGCTGTGTTTGGACGTACGCTTCTGTCGGCACTGTGGTTGGGCGTACGCTACTGTCGGCGCTGCGCCTGGACGTGCGCTGCAGTGAATGTCCATACTGCACTGCGCCGCTATGCGGACCGCAATGCCAGACGTGAGGCAGACATCATGCGGGATGAAATTTCAGTGCAGGAAAGAGCGAATCCCTGCCGAGTTAATGCCAGCCCAAATCATCTGGAAATTCAAGTAGTCGGGTGTTCAATGAGACGACGAGCTGAATTGGATGTGTTGGTAAGTGGATAGGCGACGCAAATTACGCTCCCAGCATCCAATCCGTCTGCTTAGCGTTTGGAGTTATCATATTTCGCTTCGTTTTCTACGGGAGCTCGGAAAGATCCGAAGCTGACGTGCGTGCCGATATCGTATCCCTTTGAAGACGGATAAGTCGCGGGGGCTGACACCGCAATACGATAGACGCTTTCATCGCAGGCGGTTCGGTCGAAAGACAGACAATGCGACTAGCATATGGGCTCAACCGAGTTGATGCTGACAGGGAAATAGAGTGTTTCAGAACACAATACCGGCCGAAAAAGACAACAAACGCGCATCATATCAAGTGATGCTAGGCTTAACTGCCTCTACAGCTTATGCCGTCGCATGGGTCAGTTCAGAACCTGAGCATGTTCTGTTCATTGCAGCGTTGGCTTTTGCTGATGACTGGTGGATCTGTAAATGGTGGCAGCAAGACCATCTTAACTAGGTCTGACGATCTTAAAAAACATGCAGCCAACGGAAGCCCCGTCCGCCGTCGTCCCGGTACCGACGACGCGGATCTCAGCTAAATTTGCACTTACATTTCCAGTGCTGTGCTTAAAGGTCCTGCGGTTAAAACACGGGCGGTCTTCACGCCAAGTCACGCTTCTCCCAGCCCAGCAACCAGCACAATCGCTACGCGCCCGTCAAATCTGCGGTGAACGGTGTGTGCGCGTGTGTGTGCGTGTGTGTGTCATTGGGGCTTTACAACGCGACGAGCTGCTGAGGCTACATAGCGTTTCCTACCTCTCATCCTGGCAGGGAGGACGTGCGCCGCTGGGGACTGAACCCCGTGCCTCTGGTTCACCAGACACGCAGCTTAAACACTACACTATCGGCACTCCTATCTGCGACTCCACCAGGGCACCTGGTTGCACTGCCTGGCGCAGCTTAAACACCCCACTATAGGCACCCTTCGCGGTGATTCCGCCCGGACACCTGGTCGCTCTGCCCCGCGGTCTGAGCGGCGCGCGTGGCCAGCGCCTGCCTCCGACATGTTTATGTACGTCGCCCTAGGGGCAGATTTGTTGGATGCCGGCTGTTTTTCCAGCCTGCCCGACTCTGGCGCGGCCGGCCACAATGGATCGCGCAGCACGTCTAGCTACAATGGATCTTCTCTCCCCCTCCCCCTCCGCCCCGTGGCCCGCTGATCTATTGACGGCCTGCTCGGCCCCGGGCAGGAATCAACCCTGCGTAGGACCGCGGTCGCCGCTGGCCGCGTGACGGCCCGGGGATGCTGCCGTCGGCGGCGTCCACGTGAGGTGGCGGCGGCGGCGGCGGCGGCGGGGTGGACGGGTGCTTGTCGTGCGCTTGGCGTGACAGAATGGCGCGAGGGGGCTGACGTTTTCCGGAGATGTCAGTGATACGGCACGGCGGTGTGATACACCCGCATGAAGGAAGGCGCCTAGCCGTGACACAGCACGTCAAACCGTGCTGCGCGAGAACGGTCATTTCACTAGCTGCCATAAGTGTCTGATGGTTTCAGCCATGGTGTAGTGAATGCACAGCGTCTGGAGCCGGGCAGAAACGTTCTCCTTTTGTCTCCCCAGCCCCACGTATTTAAGTTTAGCTGCTTCACATGCGGATATTTGCCGCAGGCTGCCGGAGTTCGTGGGAGCTTGGCGGTAATACGCATGCAGCTACCTCACGAGGAACGCAGTGGCTGCCTGTCGCTGCTTCCACCTCCGCTGTCGGTCCTTGGACGTTCAGCCAGGCCATTGAGGCGTGTTTACACATCGGACCCTATGTCGCGCCAGTCCCCATTGCAACTAATGCTGCGTTTTCAACTAGAGCGGCCGGTCTGGCCAGGCTGTTGCACCATTTGCAAAGTTTTACTTTTGCAACCACTGTTACAAGCAGCTTTCAGCACCGCTGGGCAATGTTCCTGAAATCCCATGCTGCAAACTATTGGGGTGTTCACATTGGCTCTGTTTGCGAGGCAAAGTTGTTCTGCAATGTTGCAACACCATCAAAAGATGAAGTATCAATCGACTACCACGTGGCACGTAACATTCGTAGCTTACGAAAAGGCGAAATTCGGCTTGGATCGGGCTAAAGCCTTAGCAACTCGGATCGATGTAGTTCTACTTGAAAAGGAATGTATTTGATGTTATTTCTATGCGCACATATCAGCCTCCCTGCGTGCGGAAGGTTACGCGTACTTTAACACAAACCATGAATCCATTGATTTTGGGCTACTTTTTGGCGGATTATCGTTAGATCTCTGTAACCAGAGCAGATAAACACCATGCAAGCATGCGTCCGCGTGCCACTGACAATAAATCAGCTGCACAGCCTGTTAACTTATCACTCAACACGCGCTCGAGCGGGGGTCAGATTGACCCCCCAGAGGTTTTTCCAGAATGGTTTCCGAACGGCGCGGTGTAGCCGCGCCAAATTTTGCATAGCTGTAGACAATTGAATAGTGGATCGCTTGACATGAAAAATTTATACGTAACCTGTAAGGTCGCTGACCTATGGCAGGTCAAAGTCAGGCCATGGTTTCAGCGAAGGCAATTTCTAGGGAATCGTCCAATCTGATACAATAACGGAGTATTTGACGAACCCATGCATCTCTGAGATGCTTTCTGAGGCACTACAAATATTAAATGGGCAAATTACGTTAACCTAAGCTCAGGTATAAAGATCAGACGAAGGTCACAACCAACCTGATTTATTACTCTAGGGCTTGCTGTATGGGATATAATATAGTTTATAATTAGGGCCATAATATAGTTTATATTATAGGACATAATATAGTTTATAATATAGGGCTGTAATAGTTTGTGGTGCTCATTTCGAATTTATTGACAGAAGGAACCGCATTATACATCTTCCATCAATTTCTCGTAGGTCAGAAAACGTCATTAACCTAGATGGCCCTGGTCGACATTTTGTTTTATGAACGTACTGCATAGCGTAATCTTTGTCGCTTATTCAAATGCAAAACTCATAGCAATCTCGTATGAATTTGGTCACCATGACCTTCAAAAGGTTAAACAAGGTGCCAGACCTCATAGGGGCTTTTGACCTTTTGCTTAGAAACGGTTTCCTAGATTCTGGGGGCACTTTGGTGACCAACCTAGAATTTGACCTTGTTTGACCTTATTTAACCCGAAGGTCATGACTAAGTAGGCTCAAACTTTGATCTAAGTGAGTTCACGTACAAGCCAAGACACCCTGCAAATTTGGTGTCTCTAGCTTTCTTAGTTCCCGAGATCTCAGGGGGGTCAAATTGACCCCCCAACCCCACCCGAGCGAAGGGTATCTAACCGGTCACCCGGTCCGTGTTAAGAAAAAATAAAAAATAAACTGACGGACAAGTGGACTTTGACTGTTCTCACACTCTAGTCTTTTAAAAATTGACCCGGAAAATCATGGCCACACAGCATCGCCGCACGTTTGGCCACATTTACCGCAGCGGCCCACACAACCATTGGGCGGGTAATCGATCCGCAGTGGCCGGCAGCTATCTGTGCCGCAATGATTGCCAACCGAAAGCCCTCCATTAGCGATGGAGGGACGCCTCGATGATGGCCGACTGCGAAATCCTCCGTGACTGTGCTGTTAACTTGTACGACCGTGCTGGAGAAACTATGCATCGATCGCTGCGCCAACCCCCCCCCCCCCCTTTCCCCAGCGACCTACTGGCACCCTGTGCAGACCGCGGATCACTTCATATTGCGTAACCACCTGATCGTATACCGTAGATGACTCGCACCAAAAGTCGTCACAAACAGCTAAACGCTGATTTTATTTTTTCACCCAAGTCACGCAGCCTTATCCAAAAACTTCGAGGCAAACTATAAGGCTCACGACACAATGGCACAGAGAGATGAAAGATGGAATGAGACATGAAAGCTGGAATGTAACGTACGGCTTCGGGCCTTCAATTTCTATATTAATTAAGCTCCCTTAATCTCTTCCTTTAGGCACCTCTGCGTAAATTGTTGTTTTCCATTTCTCTCAGCCAGGGCCAAATAACAGTGCGAATGATCTCGACGAACGTCATGATCTTGGTATGATCGCAAAATTTAATTGCAGGTCCCTCCCAGTACCAGGCCCTGGAACCGCCTCGCATGC